TGCAGTATAGTGATTTTTTTTTTTTTTTTTGTAATGGATGTTTTTCTAAGCAGAAACCAGCAGCAAGAACTGTACGTACGAGTGGATTAGATTTTAATATGGTGGTTTGACTCGTGTACTGAAAATGCCGAGCTGGTAGTTCTCATTGGCTTTATTGATTCCCATTTTGTAATTGTCAGCGCTTCTCATTGGCTGTGATGAATTGTTATTGTATCCCTCGAGTCAATCCCTTGATTGTATTTATCAATACTGTTGGATATTATCAGTGAGATGTTTAGGGAGGGAAATATCAAGGGTCATATGGATTGACATTATCATGAGTTGATGAACAGTATATTGATCTGATTATGATTTAGTATTGACCTTACCATGTTGTTAGGGATGTGATTGATTCGGCTCGGCTGCTGGAATGTTTAAGCAGTTCGGAATAATTACCTTAATGTTCTGTTGGCAGATTTCTTAACTAATGAACTGAACTCACCTCCTGAACTGGGATGGTTATGTTAGATTTAATAAATGTGGTTTGATTTGGATTAATTTTCTAAATGTAACTGGTAGGGATGTAACGATTAATCGCGAGCCGGTTGAAAATCGATTCAAATATGTGACGATTCAAATCGGTTGAGATGCTAAACAAATCGCGATTCAATTAGGGGTAGGAGTTTATATGAATGTATGTCTGAGGGGAACTTACTGTCTTTCGATGGTATTTTTTCTTTTCCTCTTGCCGCTGTATAATGCATATCAAGGCTCCAGACTCATCCTTCCCACTGGTCGCGCTCTTTTGCAACTAACTTTCTCAGCTGGTTGCACGAGCATGATTTGGTCGCAATATTTTTTTTTTTTGCGCTACAACATGGGATTATTCAATGCATGCTGATGAACTTTTATCATAGTTTATAGTTATATGGAAACGAAAGTTGTTAACATTCAACCCATTCTTTATCATCAGTAGTATTATTTGTAATTTGAATTTTGTGAATGGGAGTTTCTCTTTTGCTTCGGATGAAAGCTTCGGATGCTTTCACTTTCGAATTCGCGATCTTGTTGTCACTGTTTTGCTTACATACATCTACACACCTTTCATTTTTTAAGACTAACACAAAAGATGGATTCATTGTTATTCTTAATTAAAAAGCACAACAAAAATACATCAGTAAGATACAATGACAAACTAGCTTACAAAACGTTTATTAACAAAAACGAATAAGAGGCATGGCACACACCACATGCTGTATTATATACCGACTAATAAATTACAGAACATTTAGCAAACACTGAGGAATCAAATAAATAAATAAATAAAAGAGAGCCATAGCTTAAGGTAAACAGCAAAGATACGTTTTTCAAAAATGAAAACAAAAAGAAAAGTAAAACTAACGGTGACAGTGCTTGCATGCAGAAAAAATTGTCACAGTCTGGAGCCCTGCATATTAAAGTTCATAAGTGCAGCTTTGCTTTGTTTACAGTGGAAACCAAGAAAACGCCACCTGCTGGCAGAGAGTGAATCTGCGTCTCATTCAGCTCGTCCGCTGTTTTCTGTTTCATGCAGATATTTTTATGCATAGGTTCACAAAACTGAAGTCAAACCATTCTGTTTTTGCTTCAAATTTCGAAATTATACAATGTAATTTAAATTAAATTAAAAACTGCTCATGTTGCATGTATGCAGCATCTTTGTTTGGATCATGATTAAATGCAGTGGTTGCCTCTAATTTTAAAAGGAAAGAGCACAGACAAAGCCTTAGTTTGTTTATATGAAGATATTTATTTTATTTGTGTTACTTATTTAT